TTTTTTTTTGTAATGCAATGTAGGCTTTGTCAGCAGCCGTGCAAACGGTTTACAGTTTGCTCAACTTATTCTTTTTTAGGTCATTGATTCTACTACCTATCCCGCCCCCGACTCTAATCTGGAAATCTCAGAAGATTCCACAGACTCCAGTGAGGTATCTACGGAGCTTTCTACGGGCAGCGATGCTACAACCAATGATGTGACGAAACCTCCACGATCTCGTCGAAGTCAAAAGAAGGTACCTTATTGTTGATCTTTTTTTCTTTTTAAACAGCAAGGTGTTTAGGGTACACCGATGAAATATGTCGCTAAGAATAGAAGAAGATCAGTCAAAAGCACCGCCAATAAGTTCCACAAGTCTGAAATTAGCAAGGAAGAAGCAGCTGATGCTATCATGAAGGAGGCGACAGCATCTCAAAGCCAGGATTCAAAGAAAAACAGCGATACAGACAGTGCCAGCGAGTCACTGGATGCGCCACTGCGTGAAATTCAAGATGTTCTTGTACCTCAAGCATCGGCTGATGATAGTTTTGATGAACAGTTACCTGGAGATAACACTGATTCTCTGGTGACGACGGCACAAAACATGGAGATTAATGAGTGCGTTTCTTACACGCTATATTGAAGAATGTGAGTGTAATTTCTAGGAATACATCGGCGACTACAAACTCTATGAACCCATCTGTGCTACAGAGGATCGCTGGTACACCTGGCATTCTGAAGAAGATTGATAGTCCTTCAACGGCTGAAAAGAAGGTGCGTGATTTATGGTCATCCAGCAGTTAAATGACAATAAGTTGATCTTGACTTGGAATTTTTTCTTTGGTGTATGTTCAATGTTTCCGATTTTTACTGTTGTTTCCTGTGGAGGAAAGATTCTCTAGAAAATCTGCCTAGACGCTGTAGATCGAAATCTGTTCACTCTAGACTAACATGTGTTAAAGTTACAGTTCCGTCGAGTCCATTTTGGCAGCTCATTTGAAGAACCTGAGCTGAATAGTGGCAGTGACGACAAAGCTCCTTCGATTGAGGAGCTCTTTCCAGCGTCACCAAAAGGAGTGCTGAAATCTCCTGGAACGAGACGTCCATTCGCCAATGTTCAGGCGACAGAGGTATAAGGTTTTGACATCTTATTTTTTATTTATAATATGTCCTTTTTATAGGTTCTCATAACCTCCAGTCCATCTGTAGACAAAACAGAATCTCCACGAAAAAATGATGAGGCAACTTCCGAAGAACAACCTATCTTCCCAGACCTTAGTGAATGCCAAGAACCTATCGCCAAAATCGTCAGTAGATTGTCGGTGACTTCTACAAACACTGGGTTGGTAGAAACTTTATTGGCTTACTGATGAATCGGAACGAGTTCCATATCTCAGGAGCATCACTCTTCGGAAGACATTGGAAGCACGTGGTATCCTACAGATCCGCCACCTCGCGTGCATGTCCCGTCGTGAAGTCGCTTTACTGAATATCAAAAAACCTCGAGTAGAAACAGCTGTGAAGGCGCTTGCACAGTTTGCGCGCGACTATTCGCCTCAGAAACAGCGAGTGGTTATAGTTCCGGTAAGTTTTGTCTATTATGTGACGTTATATATTATCAAGGTAACAGTAGCGGTTACGTTGGGGTAC